CAAGGATTAGAGTGAAGTGCAGAAACTATTGAGAGAGTTTTTCTTATTTTTTGAGCTCTTTTTTGATATTGGAAGCCTTCAAAACTAATTCATAGTCGCTAGGAGTGCCTTATATACTTGAAAAATCAACTCTGATTAGTGTTAGATAGATTTGAACTGTTGAAAATAGTTTGGAGACAATTCTAGCCATTAATTTGTCTTGTAGCATTCAAATTCAAATTCTCAGATAGAATGTTCTTAGTTGGCTAACATGCTTCTTAGTCCATTAAGTCGTTTATGTCTTCTGATCTTAGCTTTTGACAGTGAGGTCTTGGTCGACTAACAATGCTTCTTAGTCGATTAAGTCATCTTTGTCTCTAAATCTAGTTTTTGGCAATAAGTTCTTAGTCGACTAACAATATTTTTTAGTCGACTAAGTCTTCTCTATCTCACAATTTGCTTGAACCATCCAATTTCACTTTTGAATTTTATCTAACTAACGCCTTTGATTATCTGACTAAAAAGCTTCTGTTTTATTACTTAATTGTAGCTCTTTATTTTTATGAGTTTTGATATTTGCTTTTGAATTATTAATTTATTATTTAACATTTATTTTTGTCTTGCACACTCAAGTGAAAAAGTTAGACATAAATAAATAAGAATATTTATTATCATCAAAAACTAATGAAGTTAACACTTTGTGAGGAGCCGTTCTATCAAGGAAGTGGACAACTTCATATGAGGTATAGAGTTATATTTTTGAGTGGTTTGGATAACAAATAGGGCTAAAGTAAGTATCGTCACTTTATTTTTTATGGATATAGCGCTCTTATGGTGGCATTGTAGGGATGACAAGATAAGGCACAGGGACCGTGCCATGATTACATGGGAGGAGTTCACACAAGAGTTGAGGCAGCAATTTAAGCTTAAATATGTAAAAGATGAGACCAGGGGCAGGATTTGCAAGGTCACATAAAAGGGAAAGGTCGACTATTGCCGAGAGTTTTTTGAGTTGCTACTCATGGTGTAGAACATGAGTGAGCAAAAGACATTGTTTTGTTTCATAGATAGGCTGAAACCGTGTTAAAGGCTGAGTTGCAACCCCGAGGTGTGCAAGACATGAGTGAGGCCATAGTTGTAGTAGAATTACTAGTCAAGTTTGAGTATGTTGACTTTTCCAAGCAATGGAAAAACAAAAAAGAAAAGAGTGACTAAGGCTCATTGTTTGAAGGGGAAGGCAATGAGAAGGTTGCCTACCCACCCAAGGCCAAGACTAATATCAAGAGCTAAGAAAAGAGAGTTCTCAAGTGGTTTTTGTGTGAGAAAACTCATTGAGTGAACTATTGCCCGATTACGAAGAAGCTTTCAGTGATAGAAAGAACAAAAGTAAAAAGGATAAACCACAACGATAGGAACCCAAAAACCTAAATGCCATTGTGAAAGATGTGGAACTTAGGAAGGAGTTATGGCTGGGAGTTATTCATGGGTGTTGTGAGCTAAGCGACTCTTCAATTAAAAGACCAAAGAGGAACTGGCATCATCGAGGTAGAAGAGGTAGGCGAGTGCACAAAAAGTCACAACATTCCCCTAGCAATGAGGGAGTTGCTAACTTGAGTGGGGGAGATTGTCACGAGTAGTGTGACATGAGGGTAAAGGCTAGGCCATCTAAGGTGCAAAACAAGCAAGCAACAAGCCATAAGTGGAATGGAAGTAAGCCCTATAGGTTTTTTAAGCAAGCATATGAGGCTAAAGTGCAAGCAAGCTATAAGCCACACGGTAGAAAAGTGAAAGTACATAACACCAGTAATGGTGTAAGAGTACATAGTGCCGGTAGAGGCACGAACCAACCTGCATGGGATTGAGACAACTCATCGAGCGCACATAGATTGCACATAGCATCGAGACAATAAGATCTCCCAATAGCTAGTCAGTCGCACGGTACTACAGCGCACCAGAATATGTATATGCATGCCTTGTAATTTAGAGAGTAACTTCTAAAGGGAAACCCTTGGAGGGAAACCTTATAAAGAGAAATTTTAGAATGAAACTTTAAAGGAAAATTCCCTCCCATTCTAGCTTTGTAACTCTAAGGGACCTCGTCTATAAATGCTTCCCTTCATTTTATACTTATATATAGAGAAAATCCCACTTGAATGATATATAGCTCTTCTCTCTAACTCTTGTCTTTACTTATGTGCTTGTGAGTTCTAAAGCTTGTGTTTGAGCATGAGCATGGCTAAAAGGCATTCTTCAGCTAACTTAGGCTCTGTGACCAAGTGAAGGATGAATCCAAGATCGCACAGGGAGTGGTATGGAAAACCACTACTTGACAAATAACTATAGCTCACAACAGAGTGGGAAAAATTATATTGACAATGATTTCTATTGCTTTATTGATGCAAAACTTAAAAACAAACCATTACTAATGAAAAATCAAATCTAGACAAGGTGAAATTTCTAACCAAAATTAACAGAGATATTAGTATGTTTTATATAGTGTGAAAGGAAAACTTTAATCTTACAACCAAAATCAGTATCATTTAATAAACTTAATAAAGATATTTAATACTAAGCCTTTCTTGTTTATTTTCTAATCCAACCTCACTTCCATCTTTGTTCCTCTCAATACAATATTGTTGAAGCATTGCTAACTAAATTCTGCACTTACAATTGACTTCACGAGTTATATTTGCCTTATACTCTAAGCTTCCTCTAATTGGAACAATGCTTTCAACATAAACAACTTGCTACGTTGTGTTAACTCATGTAGATTCCAAAATCTTAAAGCTCTCCCATGTAGGGATCAAACATAACTAGTTTATGGTTTTCACTTTCCAAAAAAAATTCTCCATTCTTCTAAAATCCTAACAACATTTTGACTCTAAGAATAAGTCCAATGGTAAGTTGTTTAGTCCATGAATATCTATTCAAGACCCATATGTCATAGCATTTTTCCATGCCTCTTCTTAGATGAACAATTATAGCAAGAGCTTCATTAAAGGAAGCAATACACCATAAGCACTTAGCTTCAGACATACCAAAATTTGGTGAGAATAATGTCGAGAAAACTTCTTCAACCAAGTCAAAAGAAAGGATTAGATCACCATCATCACCCATTACTTACTAATGGTAAATCCCATTTATGTAAGTGTTAAACAAATAAGGATCATTAATAAAGACATTAAGATGAACAATTTCTCTCTAAGAATCCATCCTAAGGTTGTATAAATCAATTTTATTTATAAATTCCAATAAGGTAAATCCATCTTCTTCGTGGACATAGTTAATAACATCCATTAAAACCTTGTGGTCATTTGAGTTACGATTAAACCCAAACTCGACACAGCCAAAATAAGTGCAATTTGCAGAAGAAGGACATGGGATAATGGATTCAAGAAGAACTTTAACTTTTTCTGTGGAAGGATTCCAAAAGGTAATGCTATAATAATTGTGCACACAAAGCAAGCCATTACATGTATCGAAGACTGTGAGTTGAGTAAAGTCAAGCATATGAATATTCTTGTTGACTTTCAGATTAAACTCAACCTTAGGTTCACCATATGTTTTAATTTTCATTTAAGTTGAAAGCAAGGAAAAGTAAGGGACCTCGTCATAATGCATAAAAAGGATATTGAAATTGTTGTTTTTATGGTTGGTGATAAAATCGAAAGTCTAAACAGAAGAGCACCAAGGTTTACAAACACACTTGAATCTCATCAGGGATTTAATAGGAAGCCTTAAAAGGTTGTCCATCACTAAGATTTCTAGCAACTTGTGGTTGGTAATTGGCATCAACATGGAGTAGTTCATTCTTTATATGAAACAAATGATTAAGACTTCAAGACATGCACTTTGCATCTGCAACAACTCAAACACTACATCAACAAGCAACCACGATCATGTCGCCTGCCGTTAGGCAAACCTTATATATGAATGAGACGGTTTAAAACCCTAACTTTTCTATAAGGCCTTAAGATAGGTACAACTAAAATTTGGCTTTAAGCTAAATACAAAAATTAAGTTCAATCCAATATATTTAATATAGAGCCCATTTTTCTTTTAATTTATATCAATTTACTATTTTTTTTGTTTTTTCTAAATAAATATGTTTACTCTTTAATGAGATGGCAACTTCTCCTTAATTGACCTTGTTTGGCACAAAACCTCTCTTAGGGATTATCATGAAATTTCTATATGTATGAGTGCAAAAATAAATATAAAAGCAATAAAGAAAGAAAGGCAAAAAGATGCTAACAAGAGCAATAAATGTTGATTTATTAAAGAATCATCAATGCAACAATAAATACTTATACAATACTCTTATACAACCACATATGCCAACACATATGGGCAATGAACAACAACAACCAAATTTTAAATAAGAAAGCATTCTTAAATATAAAATTAGAGGCATTTCGTTAAATTTAAAATTGTTCATTCACTTCCTCTTTTGCTAATACCCCAATCAACACATCCTTATAGGCTTTGCTGACTCTTTCTTCTATCTTAAGGGCATATTTAGTGGTGACTCCTTTTAAATTTCCAGTTTCTTGGGTTATAATCAATCGAGTCAATGTTTTTTTAGCATTCTCATTCGCATCAATTCTGAGAGCTGTATCCAAAACTTGAAAAGAAAAACAATCCATCAAAAGAATTACTTGCTTGAATATTTAAACATATATTTATTTTTTACTTTTCCAAAGTAAAACAAATAAATAACAAAACTATCAATCGAACAGAACCTTAATGATCTTACCTTAGCAAAATATGTATGAAGGGTCCATAAGCATTCTATTGTTTCTTTCAAAAACAACTCAGCTTCAAGATTCTAAATAAAGCAATAAAAGAGTCAAATGTTAGTGCTTTAGGCCAATTGTTTATATTGCCAAAGTTCATGTATGCTATCGGTTACCTTCGTTATACTCTTGCCATACATTTTTTTGCATTGTTCATAGACTTCCTTAAGATGAGGCTTGCTCCTTGTTGTAAGAATTTTGATGACTTCCTTGTCCTCAATTAATCTCCTTTTATCAGCATTCTTGATTGTATTCAAAAGTGCTTTGGCCTTAGATTTTGTAGTGTCCTCCTTCACCTTTGGTCCTTCATACTTGTAAGCACTCATGAGTGCCACCAAGAGTTGTTGAAACAACAAATAAACTAATCAAAAAGTCATTTTCCTTAAAAAAGGCTTAGTTTATTAAATATGCTGCAAACCTTGCGTTCACTGCCTTTGATGTGGGCAGCAAGATCTTCCTCGATGGAACATTCAAAGAGGGAATGGTAAGCCTTTCTCGTTCCCAACAGCTCCTCAGATGGTTTGGTACATGTAATTTCTATTATACACCATATTACTGTGGCCCTTTCTTTAACGCCTTTTTCAACAAATGAGCATCTTTCTCCCATGGATGCAAAAGGGAAAACACCACAGCATCCTAAAAATATATGAACAAAAGTGAAAAGAACATTTCGAGTTATGTGCACTTTTAATTTCTTTTTCATACAAATTAGAGCATTATGACTAGAGTCTAAAATATTTATTTGAACTTTGATATTGGTCTTACTGCTAATCTACAATGTCATTTTTTAAGACGTATAACCTTAATTGTTAGGTTTTTACTTGTATGATTTACTTTGATCATACATTTATTCTAGTAGAGGTTTTGTATCAACTTTTATGACATTTAATAAAATAACCAGATTCAATCAAAGAAAAGTCATTTTAATAAATTTTGCATTCAAGAAATTGTTAAATGAAGAACCATATGCTATGCTTAAAATATGATGAATGATAAGATGCATAAGTAGTCTTTATTATGTTAGTTGAGAAAAATAAAACAATTACAACTTGACTTGAGGTCAAGGCACAAATTCTTTTTCCCTTGAACCTTCTTGGTACATAAATAAATAAAAAGGAAATTGTAAGAAACAACCCCACTCTAAGCCGATTTTAGAAGTAGCCTTCAATATAAAATTAACTGTGTTTAGTCAATTTTAACCATGAGATGACAAAAGTATCCTTAAAACCATTTCAAACAAATTAAATGCTCCAAAATTTTCTATCTCACCATTCATTTGCTTTACTTCCCGTTTTTTCCTGCTTTCTATGTTTCTCTCTCGTCATTCAACTTTCTCTAATTTTACAACCATCGTTATTTCTCTATCTCTCTCATCATCTCATCATATGATAAAAAACCAAGACATGGAAGGTAACAACATATTCTTGGGTTTATTGGTTTACATTCACAAAACCTTTTCTCTCTCTATCTGTCACCATCTTATCGTTGATTTATAGACCAAAAAGTATGGCATGGTAAGTAACAATGAGTTCTTAGGTTTATGGGTGTTAAGTTTTTACAGTGATTCAAGTCTGGTAGAACATGCCTTAAGGTGTAACAAATTGATTCATGCCTTGACATGTAACATCACTAGGAAGAAGGAAGCTTTGGCATGTAATATATGGTGCTAAGACCAAATTACATTTAAAAAGGTCAAAGCTTTAACACTAAATGTTACATGCCAAGTTCAAAGCTTCAACACCATATATTACACGCCAAAGCTTCCCTTTTCCTACTGATGTTACATGCCAAGGCTTGAATCATTTTGTTACAAGCCAAGGCATGTTCTATCAGACTTGAATCATGGAAAAAACTTAACACCCATAAACCCAAGAACCTATTATTACTCACTATGTCATGTTTTTTGGTCTGTAGATCGATAATGAGATAGTAAGAGATAAACAGAGAAAGGGTTTTGTGAATGTAAACTAATAAATCCAAGAATATATTATTACCTTCTATGTCATGCTCTTTGATCATATGACGAGATGACGAGAGATAGATAGAGAGATAATAATGGTGGTAAAATTAGAGAAAGTTGGATGACAAGAGAGAAAAATGGATAGCACAGTAGAATGGAGAGCAAAGCAGATGAATGGCGAGAGAGAAAATTTGAGAGCACTTAGGGTTTGTTTGGTAATCGAAAAATGACTTGCTAGAGGAAAATTTTTCTATGTAAAATGGTTTACAGGAAATATTAATCATTTTTGTTGTTTGGATAAATTGTCGAAAACATTTCTATTCTTTGAATCATTTTATGAAAAACATTTTTCATTATAGTGGAGTTATTTAGGTGTTAAAATAATAAATAGGAGTTGAGTATAAAACAATATTCATATTTGATTTTCTCTAATTTGGGATCAAAATTAAGAATGGAAATGAAAATGGATAAAATCAATAATGATATTTCTCAAAGCATTTAACCACAAATTTGTAATGAAAATAAACTCTAATTTTCAAAAAATTTTCCATCTTATCACTTTTTTATCATAACTATAAAAATA